GACAACAGACGACAGCATCGCCCTCCTTTCACAGACCGTGGAGCTCCACAGTTACCGGCCCACAGTCCACAGTCCATCGTCCACATCCCACCGCTCGTTCATGACTCCACCGTCCATCCACAGTCCTCGGACCAAAGTCCACCGTCCGACCGTGCACGGCCGGCAGGATCTCACATGGCCAACGTCCACAGTTCCCAATCCACAGGACTTCACACCTGCCATCCACATTCCACAGTCCACCCCACCCGATCGTCGTCCGCCCGCAGTCGCACCGTTCTGAGGTCGTTCAGCTCGTTTCTGGGCCCGAAATGGGCCGTCCGTTAGCCATCTGTCGGGCCGGTGTGGGCTGGCCATCGCCCGGTCCGCCACATAATGACCGTATAGGCCCGTGGACTTTGCTGGTAATGTGAGTCCTTGCTATGTGAAATTATCATCTCTACATGTATGGCAGCGGACAGGACGGTTGCCGATCAGGACAGCCACCGCCTATGTGAATTTCTCCAATTGTTACAGCACCCTGCCACCACTGCTGCCCCATCCCTCTCTCCCTCATCTCCCCTCATCTCTCCTCTCTCCTTCCCGACCTACCTCACTTACGCAACTCCTGTCCTCATCAAGAGCTTGCAACAGGCCCTGCGCGGCCCCGACGTGTCACTTCTGAGACGGCACAGTGGTCCCCGCGGGGCGTTTTCTCGTTCGTGGGATGGCGTAACTGGCTCCCGGGAGAAATTCCACCCGGGCCCTTCCTGCGCTCTGCCCGGGACCTGGGGGCTAATCTGCGACGAGCCGGGGGTCCGCTGTCGACTCGATGGAGGGCTGCGGTGTAATAGCAGCAGAGTGAGAGAGAGAGAGAGAGAGAGAGAGAGAGAGAGAGAGAGAGAGAGAGAGAGAGAGAGAGAGAGAGAGAGAGAGAGAGAGAGAGAGAGAGAGAGAGAGAGAGAGAGAGAGAGAGAGAGAGAGACAGAGAGAGAGACAGAGAGAGAGAGAGAGAGAGAGAGAGAGGGGGGGGGGGTAGCGGCGGTGGCGGTGGCGGAGCGCGTTACACCGGAGACCGATGGGCGGCTAATTTGGGGAGCCGAGAATGATGACCGACATGAATTCCCCGCGTCCATGATACACGAGGGTGTTATCCCGTGGCCAGGTCCGGTGTAGGAGCGCAATGAGTCAGAGTTTCCCCCTCGACAGTGGTGGGAGCGAGAACACCTACATGAACTCTGCAGGAGATATGCCTCTGCAATCAGCGAGGCATAATTGGGAGGGTTAATCTGATTGTCTAATGAGGGCGGCGGGAAATGACAAGATTAGGCTCGGAGCCAGGCGTTAGTTGGCATGGCTGGTCGTGTTATGCAGAACTCGAGCACTTTTGGATCAGTGCGTATAAACGAGTTCGGCACATCTGAGACCATGATTCCGTGGCAAATAAAATTAAGTATATTGAGACATCGGATACTTTTACTTTATAAGTATCTTTTCTAAGTTATTGATTCTATGGTCGTGGAATGCGGGATACGACAGAATATAACGACTGTATAATTGGGTTTAAGTATAGTAGGTAAACGTTATAGCGGAGTGGTAAGGCCTCAGCCCTCAACAATGGATCACCAATTCAGGACACCATCTTGGCAACCCCTTAGCAGGATTGACGAAAATTCAAAACCGAGCATTTTCCATTCTTTTAAGTTAATTACTTTACTTAATATCCGTCCAGTGATTAACTATTCAAGTAAATTAGCGCAGCTCATCAGAAATGTTCCGTCTGTGAATAAGCGGAACTGTTGAGGACCATGTCGGTAACCGTGCATTTCAATCTACGTCTTATGGGATCCGGCATAATTTACATTAACAATGTCACTCACTACCCAGAATCTAAAATGTTTGACGTGAGATTTGTGACCTGGGGCGAGATTGAACTCGCGCCTGTGAATACCCGGCAGAGAGCGACTGCTAACCGGGCTGGCCGGCGGCGGCGGCAGGCACGCGACCCGTGCCGACATGAGATAGCGTGGGTACTCGAGCACCGCTCGACGGCCGGCCGCAGCAGGCGCGCTCCCGGCTGACCATAATAGAAGCATCTGGACGGCATGCATAATGTATGTGCCCATTCTGAGGATGACTGGAGGGCATATCGTCCACCGGGGGAGCGGACCAGCCGGGCATATCGTCCACCGGGGGAGCGGACCAGCCGGGCGTATCGTCCACCGGGAGAGCGGGCCAGAGCGGGCGGGTGTCCCTCCCTCCACAGGAGCCCTTCCTCTCTCTCCCGCCGTTCCCGCTGCCGTCCGGCCACAAGTGGTGCCGCTCGTTTGATCGGACGGCCAGCGAACGGTGTGCGTGTGCTACGTAAGACGACTGCGTGACGCGGTCGGCTCGGCTAGGAGCGTGACGATGGCTCCGAGTGTCGGAGCTGAGTGACGCGGCCGGCCCAGTAACGAGCGTGACTGTGGTGTTGAGTGGAGGTGGGCATATGGGACCCGAGTCTATGGAGCCGCTCCGGGCCCTGATTGGTAATGCTGTGGGCGCTGATAAGTCAGACTCATGACCAATTACGAGTACTATGTTCGATCGAGTACGATTAGTGAAAGTCAGTTTATTTCAAATTAGCATGCATGATCTGCATTTTTTATATAACATATTTATTTATTTCGTTAATGATAACCCTGAGTTAACTGTGAAGTTTATTTACACGCTACCGTTTCAGACATTCCCACTCAATATGTAAAAAGTTTCAAGAATTTCCTCCATTTATTGAACAGTTCACTTTGGCAAGATAACCAGGAGCAAATGGTTACGTGCGTTCTTTAGCCGATAACATCCACCACTTGCGCACAGGAGTTGACTTTCAATGCCTTTTTTGCTGCTTTGAGAATTCACTTTGGCTTCTGAGCTGCGTTAAGCCATCGTAAACTCTGCGGCGAAATTGTCCTGTTTTGGTCTCGGCGACAATTTGTGTCTGGAATGCCCGGTGGCTGCTCGCTCCAGGGGAACTTGTTTGTTGCACGGTCTCTGGAGGTTCTCCCAGGCGCCGCCGGTGCTCAGGCGCCACTGACATCACCCTGACACCCTCGCCGGCCCCAGACGCCGCTCCTAGAAGACCTCCAGCTGTGACCTATGAATAATTAATCGGCAGGCCTAGTGAGGAAAACAGAACGGCTGTCGCGACCGCCGGGATAAGCGATATTTCTGGCGATGGAAAGACGTAGGTGGCCCGATACCGCCGCAAAAGAGAACACTTCCATTAAGTGATCAAATGGAATGCCGCAAAAAAAAAAACAGATGAACTGAATAATCACTGCTTTACTGACGCAGTCCTTATGCCTTCAGACCATTCATCGCTAATCCCAGCAAGTATCTCACAAGATAAGCTCCTCTGAGACGATTCGGCCCGTTTCGGCGGTGCTGGTCTGCGCCCCAAGCCTGCAGTCAAGTGCCCAGTCTTTTGTAGGACTGCTCTATATCTTCACATAATCCCGCCCCGCAAAAGCCGAGCCTGCGGAATACGACGCAGCCCATCTCCAAAACGTCCTCCACTACTCTTGGTTCTAAGCCGAAGCGCGATCCGTCCTGATCCGGATCCCCCGGTCCCCGGAGATCCGGATCGATCCGAGCGGAGCGGAGGCGCGGGGGCGGACAGATACGGAACGGCAAACACTGGCGGCAAACGGACGCAAACAGTCGGCCTGCGGCAGATACAGACCAGACCGAACGGACGGCGGCAGCACCAGCCGGTCGCCGCCGGCGCCCCGCCCCCCCCCCCCCCCCTGCCCGCCGCAGCTGACGCGGTGACTGATCCCCCGAGATCCGGGAGCAACAGGACCGGCCGATACTCAGCCGGTGACAGCGTCAGTGTTCCCTGCGCTCGCACTGAGGCGAGGGAGAGTCCCACAGCCTAGAGCCGCCGCCGCCGCCGTCTGTGATTACGGCAGGTTTCACCGAGCGCGCCGGTGACGGCTCGGATGACGGCTCGGGATGACGGTGGGCTGATGGCGGATCAGCGGCGCTGCGGCGGGCCGCCCCGCGGACAGCCCCAATGACCCGCTGACGGCCCAATGGCCGCCTGTCAGCTCGAGCCACGCCGCGGCCGCCGCTGCGGGGATCAACGCGGCCGATTGAAGTGCGAGGAGGGTTGAAAACGATCAGAGCTGTAGGTAGATGGTGCTCGGCAGGGGAGGCAAATCCTGGAAGGTGAAAGGTTTACGAGATTTTAGAAAAGTAGTTGAAGGAAACCGGCTGCTTGTAGCTTAATAGTTAATGCAGTTTATGAAAAATTACAAAACATTATTTTACAGTGAATGCTATTGCTAATTATAATTGACATGATTGTGATTTCACCGTCTGACATTTTTTTTTTTTTTGGTAGCCGTTTACTAAAGTATAGCTTTAAAACCAGACATAACAATTAGATCACGATAAGAACTGCTCCCGCTGGACAACAGCGGTGTAGCCTTTCTTGCTCCTGCTGGGATCAGCCAATCACATGCGAGGTCGGCCGCCGGGGTCTTAGAGGTCAGACTCCGCCCCGGCCGGTCTGTCTGGGCAGCCTGGGGTCCTTTCGTCGGAGCAGGGTCGGTGGGTACTTAGTACTTACAATGAACTGGGACTTACCACCGCCAGAGCGTTGTGCATTTAATAACCGTTCAACAGTTCTTTTTTGCTGTTGACATGGATAACTCTTGAGACTGCAAAGTGTTCTGATTAGACTTTTTGAACAGATTCATTCAAACCATTTAAAATGCTATATACCTACTGAATTCGCTCATTTAAAAGTTGCACTTTTCTCCCTCCCAATTATTCTGTATTTTTTACTTCTACATATGATAAGGTAATACTGATAATGCAAGCAACTAGAATCTAAACGAGTCCTAAAATATGTCTATAGCTTGACTGGCCAGTAAACGGTGTGGAATCGCATTCGTTGCGTCCGTGACATTTGGTTGGTTGGTAACTGCTCGACGCCAGTCTGCCCTCGGGCTGACGACTGCCCCCCTTTCCCCTGTTTCCAGGAACTGTCGGGCCCGGCGCTGCCCGTGATGACGTCACACCATGACGTCACACCTTCAGCTGTGTAACGACAACAGCAGCATCGACCGTCTGTTCCCCAAGTGCCGGCCGCCGACGGTTCGCGCCGCCACCGATCGGCTCGGCAATGTGAGCCACAGCTCCGCCGCCAGCACCGCCGCCAGTTCCCTGACAGCAGCTGCCGGGTCAGAGCCGGAGGCCGTCTGTGACCTGAACGGTAACCTCGCCGCCATGGAGCCGACCCGGGCCGCCGAGCCGCCCTCCAGCGAGCCCGACTCGGACTGCGGGGCCGAGCCGCGGCTGGAGGTGGCGCGCGGCGGCCGCAGCCGGCCGGTCAGACGGCGACCGGTCAGGACCGGCGAGCGGCTCCGCTCGGCCGCGGGAGGCGAGTCGCTCGACCTGACCGTGCTCGGGCTGCGCCCGCTCCGGGAGACCTGTCTGCTGGGCGGCGCCGCGCCCGGTGGCCGGCTCACCGTCGGAGAGACGCCCGTCCAGGGCACCGTGGTGTTTGACGACATCGGCGACCTGGCCGAGCCGGCGCTGCCCATCGCGCAGTACGAGGGCTCGCCGAGACGCTACGGCTCCCGGGCGTCGGCCGAGGCGCGGCCCCGGTCCTGGCGACGGCCGGATGTCGAGCGGAGCCTCGACTGCCCCTCCGACAGGGGTCCAGAGCGGACCGCCGAGCGAAACGCCAGCTGCGCAACGGAACGTAGTCTGGATCAGCACAGCTTCGGGTACGGAATCGAGCGCACTTCAGACCGCATCCCAGGGCGCGGCTATGACAGGGCAGTTGAGAGGAGTCTGGACTGTCGCCTGGAGCGGAGCTCAGAGAGCACAGACAGAAGAGCGGACCGGTCTCTGGGGTACGGCTCGGAGAGGAGGTTTGTATACGAGGACGAGCCGAGCTATGGACGAACGGAAGAGCGCAGGTCGGGACAGGAGCGGAGTCTGGATCACAGGGCCGATCACTACGGCGGTGAGCGCGAGTTTGAGCGGAGGGAGTCGCGGGGCAGCCTGACTCTGACAGACACCAGCATGTACGGCAACTCGGGCAACTATTTGATCTCCCCCGACCGGGAGATCTCAGAGGAGGCGGAGCCTCAGGCGCTGCCTCTCCGTGCCTTCACCCGCCCCGAGGAGGCGGCCGACCCCACCGCCGTGTCTGGCTCCGACCCGGCCGCGCTGGCGGAGCACCGCCTGTCCCCCGACCACAGCCTGTCGCCGCTGCCGACTCCGACTCCGACTCCGACTCGGGGCGGTCGGGCGGACGCGGCGCCGACCGAGTCGACGGTGCGCCCGTCCGACGGCGGCTCGGAGGGCGGCGTGGCGGCGTGCTCGGGCACGGCCAGCTCGTCGTCCGGCTACCTGGGCTCGCACGGCTCGGACGCCTCGGAGCCGGGCGAGGCGGCCGCCGCCGGCCTGGGCCGAGTCAGCCTGCTCGGCCGGCTGGCCGACGGGCGCGACTCGCCGCAGCGCTCCCGTCTGCTGACCCTCTCTCCGCGCACCAGCGTCAGCGAGTGCGGCGACCTGGAGCTAGAGCTGGAGCTGACGCGCTCGGACGGCGGCAGTCCGGCGCCGGGCAGCGCCGCCGCCGGCGCGCCGCTGATGCCGGTGCTGGAGGACGGCCTCTCGGATGGCGACTGGGAGGACGGAGAGGGGCCGGACGACTCGGAGGACGCGGCCAGCGCCGAGCCGCTCAGCCCCACGGCGGCCAGCCTGCTGCGGCGCCACATCGCCCGGCTGGAGTCGGAGCTGCGCGAGCGGCGGCCAGGCTCCCCGCCCCCGCCGCCGCCGCCGCCGCCGGGGCCGCCGTCCCCGCCGAGTGCCGACCACCGCCTGGCCAACATTACACCCACCCGACAGCGGGAGGTGGAGGCCTACCTGTGTCAGCAGCAGCAGCAGCGTGAGCAGCAGCGAGAACATCAGCTTCAGCAGCAGGAACAGGAGCAGCATCAGTACAGAGCCCACTACCGAGGCAGCGACCTGGACCTCAGATCAGTCGATCCCTTAGGTAGGTACAATAAATGCATGCTCAGATTCCCGAATTTATTATTAACGAAGCAATGAAAATATGTCAAACAAATGTAACTTCCTGCATTAGGCAGATCAATCAACAAGCGGGATCCCTGCCAGGCTGCGCCTTCTGCAAGTCAATTCTGATTTTTTTTTATCTTTTCCCCCCCAAAAAATCCATTTTTTATTTTGCATGTTTGACCGATTCAAAATCAGCGAATCTGAAAATCAGCAATGCCGTTCATGGTTTCAATTTTCTGCTTGGTTAGTGTTATTGCTTCTGGTTGAACGGATAGAAACCAATCTCTCATTTCTGCTGGACGGATTGAGGCGATTCGGCCGTTCTCTCTCTCCAAAAAGGCTCTCCGAGCGGTCGTTCTAGCACTGCTAATGTCCGCGGCGCCCGAAAATAGCCCGAGCGTCGGTATCACTCTGTCTGAGTGCAAAACGACTGCCAGCTGGGGCCCGGGGATGCAACGCCATTTTAAAGCAAAAAAAAAGTTATCGTGTTCTCCCAAGTAACATAAAGAGCGGTAATATGTCTAATTCTAAGGTCGATAATTATCCAAGACGATAAGAAAAAGTATCAAGGACCAAGGGCTTACTCGTAGACGTAAAACGGTACCTAACGTTTCCTCTTATGCTACTTGAACTACAGCTGTAGCTGATATATAGGCATATTCCGTTCACATTCCTTGCTGCTTGATTTGAGCTCGACTCTGCTACGGGCTGTCGCTGTCGAAGAATGATGCGTCTTGTGTTCCGCTGCATCGGGCGGTACTGATCGCTGACAGCCCCTTCCCTCTGTCCGTTTCTCAGGCTCGGACCACTCCTCTCCTCTCTCCCTGCCGGTGACAACCAGCAGACGGGCTGCTCTCTCCTCTCCCTCGCCGCCGCCGCCGCCACCGCCGCCGCTGTCCGCCCGCGACGCCCCGGCGCCCGAGCCGCCCCCGCCCCCGCCCGAGCACCGGCGTGGCGACTACCCGCTGCACCACACGCCACACCGGGGCGACTACAGTGCAGAGAGGCGGGAGGACTACTGTGCAGAGAGGCGAGAAGACCACGCCGCTGAGAGGCGGGAGGACTACGCCGCTGAGAGGCGGGAGGACTACGCCACCGAGAGACGGGAGGACTACAGCTCAGAGGGTGTTCGAGGCCGCGGCGACTACGCCAGCACACCGGCACGACATGGTGCCTACAGCTCGGAGCGGCCCGAGAGCGACGACTATCTGGAGAAGTCTCCCGATGGGAGCGACTACAGGCACCACGGCGGCGACTACCGCGCTACGCCGACCCGCAGAAGTGACTACGTGGAGCCCTCGCCGCGCCGAGTCGGCTACCGCGGCTCTCCCCCGGCGGACTCGGCCGCGGGTGGGGTCAGGTCGGGGTACCCCGGAGCCTCGCCGGGGTCGTACTCCTGCGAGGAGCAGTCCCCGTCGACCAGTCGCCGGCCGATGGGGCGGGCAGCGGCCATGGAGCCGCCGCGGCTCGGCACCGACCACAGTGCTTCGTATGAGACTGTGTCCGACACGTATCAGCCCAGCTTCCGGTCGGCGACGCTGGTGACGTCGTTCTCGCCCGGACTGCCCGCCTCGGGCCGGCGGCCGACCGGTCTGGAGGCTTCCAGAGGCCCGCGGCCCGGCGTGGCGCAGCGCTCGGCCTCGCTCGCCGCCGGGCCACCCGGCTCGCAGTCGCCCGGCGTGCGGCCGCTACACCCGGCACCGGCCTCACCGCGGACCGCCGCGCCCGCCTCGCCGCAGGGCCGGCCCCCGCGCCCCCACCTCCCCCTGTCGCTGTCCGGGGGCCAGGTCCCCAACGGCCGGCCGGCGCCGCACCCGTCCCCCCTGCCGCCCCGCCCGGCTGCGTCCCCCTCTGCCGCCGCGCCGGCGGCGGGGGGCAGGGGCTGGCTGGGTCAGGGCGGCGGCGCCCGTCCGGCCCGACCGGCGGCGCTGCCCGGCAAAGCGGCGCCAGCCACCCGCCGGCTGCCGACCACACCTGTCCTGGAGTCGCCCGACGAGGATAACAGCAGGACCGAGCGCTCCACGTGGATTCCCAGGTGGGTACCGGGACCGGACCGCCGCCCAAACACTGCGAGTAGAGATAGTAGCGATCCTCACTCATAGATGGCAGCACGGAGAGCGCCTGCAAAGTAGACTGTACCGCAGCGATTCTGTGCGCTGCGGCACAGCATATGGAATTAAAATGGCTGCCATTAGGCAATTCTATTTGGTGAGGCGCAAAAGAGGGGCTGGTAGTCTGTAGAAATTAAGTTATACACTGAAAATAAATTTACACTCGCGTGCCGGTGACACGAAAATAAGCACCAATGAGAGGCGTGTTGGTAGGGTGTAACACAACTCAACTGTGTAACTGTGGGGTGTAACGCCGAAGAATGGTGCAATTACTCGGTGTTCAAAATCAACACCGACAATTAACACCAATGCCACCTCAGACCAACCGACGCTACGGATAAATAACACCACCATTTGGTGTCAACACCCCGTGACAGAGACGTTATATCGCAAACGCCACACAATGGTGTAGCTTCCAGTTCATTGGTCTCTAAACGGTGTTACTAGCACCGTTACCATGGATCAGATATGGCCTTGGATTCAAGGTCAGCCGGCCGCCGGCCAGCGCGAGCGGCTGCGCGTGCACATGCGTAAATTCAAATGAACGGCGGCGCGGCGTGTTGATTCGCGCTTCAGTTTGAAACGAGTGATGCGGGGATGTGTGGAGACTGGAGGTGGTGTGAGATGAAGATGGAGCCTGCCGCGCGATCATCACAGGTATGATTTTGTGATATTAAGTTAGTGTCTGATTACTTCGTTAATTGCTGTGCCGAATTGATGTTATATTGTTTTAAGTCAGAATTGTGGAATCGCTGCCTGGTATGTTGAAGCCTCGATATTAAGTAGGTGCAATGCGATACGTTTGTATTCTTAAATATGAATTAATTCAACCATGCTCATGATCCCAGTAGCATAGAATGTGCATCATAGTCGTGAGATAGGTACTTGAAGGTGCAGAGATAGTATATTGAAGTACCGATCCCAACGTACGTACACCCCCCCTGCACGCTGCGTGGTAGGATGAAGGTATGTAGTTATTTTCACTTATATCGACCAAACATCCTGGATAAACATCCTACAAACGTGAAATCGGTACCGACTTCACGTTTGTAGGATGTTCATCCGCAGAGGCATTATGCATATTTCTTTTGCTTCGCACGTTTCAAAAGCATTTATTTTTAATCGTATAGCCAAAATTAAACCGCAGAAGTATCAAAATGTAAAAGTAAATTCCCGACATTTTGCAGCAACGCGTGAAAGGGACAAAAGGGTAAAAGAAACGTGGCCTGAATCGAAATCTAACTATAATGCTTAGGTCTTAAGCTATGAAATTTTTATCACCTTGGATCAGCATCCACTACATAGTTTCGATGTTTAACCTTCACACCAGTGGGGGGGGGGGGGGGCATATGTTACCACCCTGTCGCGTTTTTTTTTTTGCGTGTGAATAAAAAACCGTGGGCCGCGCCGCTTAAAGTAGCTTTCTGTACATCAATTCTGGACAATGTGTAAAATTTTGGGCCCCAGGTCATGTCAGGTCAGGTCACCAGGTCAAGTAAACTGACCAAGCCTAAAAACAAGTTTGCAATCATGTCCAGCCTGCAGTGTTTGGCAGAGAGGTTTTAAACTTGGTGGATTGCATGATGTTATAGGCGCCTATAATGTGTATATCTCGGATTTTTTATATCCGTGACCTAAGGTCAGGCCAGTGGCGTGACCTTACCATTATAAGTCAATGAAGACAAATGAAAATGCCTCTAGATCCGTGTGTACGCGTAGGAACAGTTTAAATATTTCAGAATCACAATGATTTGGACCACCCGTGACGACCAAGGTGTCCTTTTTGCTGATAGCCTCTAGAAAGGTCATCCGAGATCATTTGAAGCTACAAACAGATTTTTGCCAATAACTCTCGATTGGAAAGAGATAGAACGTTGGGGATGACCTTATCGTGTTTGTCTTGTTGAGACGCATCGACTGATATGCAACGTGACCTTTCCCGGTCAGGTCATGACCTTGACCTGGGGTCAAATTTTCAAGTTGACCTTTTAAGGTCAAATTATAGTTCATTCGACGCGTCTCGGCGAGAGGAACACAATCCTGGCAATGGAAATGTCGTGGCTTTTTTAAGTCAAAAGTTATTGTCGAAAAAAAACACTTTTCGTAAAAACAGCTATTTTTCGAGTTTTTGCCCTCTGGAGGCTAAAGTGTTGACCTGAGGTCAATTTTGATGATGACCTTATCAAAAGAAAAGTTCAAAAGCTATCGATTGCTTTTCCATGCGTTTTTTTAGCTATCATAGGTCCTGGGATAACGGCATGTTTTCTAAAATATGACAATTGGCAAATTTTGAGTTTTGATGACCTCTGGTGACCCCAATATTGCTCTAAGATGAAAAATGATTGAAATACTTTCAAACGTACGCATTGAGCGCTATCGACTGCTTTTTACCGCGTCTTTCTAGCCCTCTTAGTTTCTGAGTTAGAGGTGGGTGGTAACATATGCCCCCCCCCCCCCCACTATGCGAAGTTGGCTGAGACCGCCACTGGGGCGCGGGTTAAAAGATATGTGTTGAAACATCTACTATTTTTTATTTTGTTTATCATATTTTTCTTCAGTGCCAACTGCCAGGGGTGGTTTGAGATAGGTAGTAATAGTGTAATATCAACGCTTGCACTCAGTGAAGCTTAGGCACTGTCTCCTCAGCTTATTTCAAGGGTAATAATGTTCGTTACCCACAGTTGAAAATGAACCTGTTGATCTTCGTGCAGTAAATCACTGAAACATGTACTCGCACCTTAAACTATCATTATGCCTTACTGTGAGTTTACTTGAAGTTGCAACATACACCATTTTAGTAAATGTGCACTATCTGTTGCAGATGTGGAAAGAGTTCGGTAGACTGACAGGCTGGGAAGGAGATGTCAAAGCCGACTGCGCACAGCGTCTCCGAGACGTGTTGGACCGCGTGAAGTTGGAGACCGGCTGTGGAGGTGAGTTCATTCTACACGTTTCTCAAAGCGATAAGGTACTGACTGCTGAATGTTGAAAAATATTTTTTTGCGGAGCGCAAGCTAAGTCAGTACATTTCCCTTGCAGATGATACTGTGTCAGCTCTGCTGTCGCTGCTGGGTGAGGACGACGCAGTGTTCCCAACAAACATGGAGGCGTGGCCTTGTATTGTGGGCGAGAACCTGTGTGTGGAAAAAAACGGAGGTCGTGAAGACGAACGGGCTAAGCAGCCAGGACAAACTGCTCCTGTGGGGAATCGTTTTCTCCGTCCTGTCACAGAAAATGACATTCACGGCATGCCAGTGTACGGCCACCCTCATGAACGTTCATGTGCTGAGGGCGGATGAGATAGGCTCCATGCCAAAGAGGCTCCGAGCTGCCTGGAGTAGGCTGACTGCTCCAACTAAGTAGGTGACAAAAAGATGACGTTCAGTTGAGTTCATGAGCCTGCTTTCCTGTTCATTGTGACTTGTGAGTTAGGGCTCCAGGCGGCGCGGAGTCTCTTTACCATAGTGCTTTGGTTATCATACCAAGATTGTTTAGAAAAGAACATTGCTTTGTTTGTCTTTGTTCTCTTGTGTCCATCGAGTCTCGTGACCGCCCGATTCGGTGACCGCTTGTCACCTGACTGGATCTGGGTGGGACAGTCACCGGGCTGTGAAGACTCTGGTGTCAGTCTGGCGACCGCCCTCCCCCCCATGTCTGGTGTCTGGTCTGGTATATGTTGTCAGCAGAGTCCGGTGACCACCCGTGCACTTGAGAAAGCGCCACTCACAGTTGCCGCAATTTTTGTTAATAACATTTGTTTATTGCTCGTCTCGGACGTTACAAAATAAATTGTCTTTATTTAAGGAATGCTTTGCTTTGTATGGGGTCTATGGCAAGCGACAGTATACGCATATGGACTTGTCACATATGTTCACACAGATGCATGCACACGTATATATATATATATATATATATATATATATATATATATATATATATATATATATATATATATATATATATATATATATATATATATATATATATATATATATATATTAATTCATCGAGATGCAGCTACACCAAACACCGGTGTATCTCCTTCACAACACCGGAAGGGGGTGTACCCAATTGGCTGCTAACACCACACATTGGTGTAAAGGTATTTGTTTTGTATCCGTAAAGAAGGCGCAAATTAATGGTGTAGCACCTTTTTATGGTGTAAAGACGTGGTGTAGCACCACAAACTGGTGTACTTACAGTGATTTAACACCATACGCCAGTGTATGTGCCTGGTGTTACACCAGGATTCAGTGTATGCTTACACCAAAACTTGGTGTTGAAACTACACCGGTGCAGGTGCTCAAAAACGGTGGGGTGTAAACATTTCCTAAAAAGGTGTAAACACCAGGAGCGGGTGTGAATTTATTTTCAGTGTAGTTGTATTGTAGCTCAAGCTGTGCCATGCTGTTGACGTTTTTTTTTGTGCTCGATTTTCAGATGGTCTGGCTATCAGAAGCTCTCGACCAAATGTGATGACCCGCCGCCAATTCCTCAGGCTGACACGGGTGAGTTGAGTCACAACTCACGAGTCATAGACTGAGCCTCAGTCATGATTCACGAGTCTATTGCGACCATCCAATGTCTAGATAGCGTATCAATAGTAAATCAAGACAAACAGCTTTCCCATTTCGCGTATACATTTGTCCTTTTTACGCAACGAGGCAAACACAATTCGATGAGTCCCGTAAGTGATTTTAACCCTCGCCCGCACATGGGGGGGGGTGGTTGCCACCCCCCCAGGTAGTCTTTCTGCTCTGCACTCAACATTTTTAAAGCTAGAAGGCTGATTTTTCGTATAGCTGCTCCTCTATCCTTTCTTGATGTCCACTGAAAATTTCAAGTTTCTGTGATTTTTGGTTTTGGAGATATGACCTTAATTTTCAGGTCATGTCATGGCCCAAATGGCCAATTCTCAACATCTTGCGTTTGCCATGGGCCTTGTGAGCTTTTGACACCCTGATTTCGGCCTTTTTTGCCAGTCCTACCTCCCATCTATCATGGAACATGTTGTTCGACGATGTACAGGGGTCAAGGTCAGGGTCAAGGTCAACCTAGGTCATCTAAGATAATTGCGTTTTAGGCAAGCTGAATTTACTTGTTGTGAAGTTTTTTTACTGCATTTTTGGTAAAAGCTTCTCAGATCATGATTTCATGTAATATGGACCCAAAAACAATCGGTGCACACATCAGTATACACACAGACACACACAGACATACAAACACATATAATTGACCTTGACCTAACTTGACCTGAAATGACCTCAGCAACAAAAATCTGGTCGGGTAGTGTGACAAAGAGGTTCTAGCTGGCTTGGCACCAGAAAACAGCATCGTCATCGGTATTTGATAAGCAGCGCACTTGATACCCAACGGTGACCCAAAACAGCAACATTTTTTAGTTTGACCTGACCTGGAAGGTCAATGACTGACCTGAGAAAGTAAAACTGGGTATCATTGGATTCGTCTCTTCCCAAAGAATCTTTTTGGTCTTTACCGCTAAGCTCTATCTCCAACAGGAACGAAATGGCGCGGGGGGGGGGGTGGCAACCACCCCCCCCCCCCATATGCGTTCTAGGATGGGAAAATGGCATGTGCGGGCGAGGGTTAAGTTCTGATGATAACGGTAGCTGTTTTTGATTATTTGATGGAATGTCCCTTATTTTCTCAGACGTGTCGCCTATTTTGGCTCATTTTAGTCAATTTGTATCCAGTAAACCAAACGCTGGAAATACGCTACAGCATCAGAGTCCTGATGACGAACACATCGCCAGGGAGCTGATATTGTTACCCTGTTAGCCGTTCAAATAGGATGCGGCTTTGGAAGCGGGATACATATTGATGCCACATATTGGCAGGGCGGCTCCTCTGATGACTATTTGAAACCTTTATCAAACTATTCGAGGCCATTCTTTGTTGCTTATCCGAAAACGTTTTCTTCATCTCCCTCCTTCCGCCTCTCCTCTCCCTGCCACCCTCCTCCCCCCTCTCTCTCCCCCCCCTCTCTCTCTCTCTCTCTCTCTCTCTCTCTCTCTCTCTCTCTCTCTCTCTCTCTCTCTCTCTCTCTCTCTCTCTCTCTCTCTCTCTAGCTCACCAAAACTTTTATATCCCTACGCTTCCGCTTCTGGCTATCTTATATTCAAATCTAATGTCACTTTTCAAATGACGTTACCTACAGCTCAAAGTTCGCTGGCTCGGTTTCCACCTCGCCTCAGACTGCAACGCCTACAAGACTTTAAAATAGCTAAATGAAGTTGGAAGTTGCGCCAGTTTCAATTACGGCATATTAACCATTGATCTCAAAGTTGATCCCATGTGTCCAAGTTCCGTTCCCTGGAGACGGTGCTGTGTCGGGCGACATGCACTGCAGATTACTGGAGTTTGCAACATCATATCCAATGCGCATGCATTTGTTTGTGTTTCCCGTACCGTGTATTTTACATGTGCCTGCGTGGAGCCTCGATAGCGATGGCGAGTGTTTCGGGACGAATTTAAGCCAAGAGTTAACAAACATTTTATGAGACTCACTACTTTCGCAAATTTTTAAGCATTCAATAAAGAAAGTGTGGTCAATACAGTTGTTATTGCTTTTTTGACGAGCATCGTCACGTAAGTCGATCGAGTATAAGCAATAATCATGAAAATGTAGGCATGTGAAAAAATCGCCAAAGGGGAGAGTATTTTTAGATATATGACATCGGCGGCTCGCAAATTATACTGTAAGGACTTGCAACGTTCCACACCTAGTCCTAAGTCCATCATTGGTTTATATCGCAGCCAATTGTGGCAGCATTAATTAACACTTTTATGTAATCGTCTGTAGGAATTCCGACAGAATTTCGATAGGAGCGAACGCGGAATAGACGGCGGTAACAGCACCGACTGCCGAGTGGGGGGGGGGGGGGGGGCACCGACGGGGAGCGGTGACGGTGACGGGAGAGACGCGGGCCGCGCCGCAGGTGTCTCACGCACGCCGCGGTCGGCGCTGTCACCAGCCGACCGCCAGGTGGCCTCAGTCCCAGCGCGGCGCACTGTCAGTGTTCCGAGCGGGCGGTGAGGGGGAGAGTCACCGTGACAGCGGCAGCGCCCGGAGGCACGGCCGGTCAGAGGTCGCCGGGGGTCGCTAAGGGGACGCGGCCTGGGTCAGAGCCGCGGCGATTGGTGGGGCGAAATGCTGTATGGCCTGTATATCTGTTATGAGTCATTTTCAGACGGTGAGTGAGCTGGTTCCTTGTTGTTAGGTTAGCGATTGGGATGGTTTGATTGGGATGGGATGCTTAATTGACACGAGTTAAAAGTTAGTTCGCTGAGTTCTGCCTAACGGATGCCGTCGGTGCCTTTCACATTGATGACGTTCATAAATGGTATGCATTGTGATTCAATGTTGAATGTGTGAAAGAATAAGTATTTATTCACATTACCTGTTTATTGATTTCAAAACCAATATAGGTATGACTTTTTCTTCATAAAAGAATAAAATTATTTATTTTATTCAAAATTGTCTCGTCATGATACAATGACAAGTATAAGTATTTTACAGTTTTTACGGCATCGCTAAATCCAAAGTAATCGCGCAAATAATAAGACGGTTGACGGTCAGTTTCGCCCGGTCAGGACTCAGGACTCGCATTATTAGCCAGAGACCAAACGGCATTGGTGCCTGCAGCATGATAAAGGCCAGGACCGGCCTCGGTGGCGAAGCCGGCGCACTGTGACAAGAATAGCCGCCGCCATGTTAAAATTCCACCCGTGAGCGGGATTTGAGCTATCTGGGCCAAAAGACCCGATCGCCCGGATGTGTAAAGCGTGGCGAGCGCCCGGGGAGCTCATTATCTTATTTCATTCATTTCTATCCTCGACGTAAATTGCTTTAAATCTGATCGGTGAAAAATTAATCTAATCAAACAGCGTTCATGATAGTTGGGAGGGGGCTTCCATCGACGAACGAAAGTGTAATGTGGCGTTCAGATCAAGCAATTGTCAATCATTAGGGACCTCAGAGATCAGCTAGAACTGACTGGTGGTCTGCCCTTGACGCGACAGAGGTCACACGGGGACAGACTTTTGGTGACCAGCCTGATGATGTGTTCTGGTGGGTCGGTGACCCCAGCCCAGTGCCATGCTCTGTTGGTGACCGTTGGTGCTGTGTTCCGCCGATAACCGGCGTTTTTCTGTTGCAGAGGAGCCCGACACGGACCAGGAGACGGACCGACTGCTCGGACAGAACAAGTCCGCCGCCGCCGACGACTCCACCACCAGTGACAAGGTGCGTGGCGCGCGCTGCGTGAGGAAATGTTTCTAATTAGGGGGCGGAGACGGAGGGCTTCCCAGCGGCGTCAGGTGCGGTGCACAGTGACACGGAGGACCGGGGAGGTAGTTCGATAATGAGGTAGGAGACGTATGTACGACCGAGATCTCTTCAGTGAAGGACGGCGTCACACTGGGCGAGAGTGGAGGTCACCATAACAACTCTCTCCTGTCTTATGGATTTGATAACCGATACTAGGGGCATATTCGAAAGATGAACCTATCTGCTTTTCTTCGGTGTAACTATTTGCATTTGAGTGGGGATATCAGACATTGAAGGGGATCGCGAGTCATCCAGCTAGGGGACACTTTCTACAACGCTGTCGTCATTCCTATAGCAGCACATCTTTACGAGAAGTGATATGTGAAAAATAACTAATGTAAGTGATAAGACTCTCATCCCCATTCCATTTCTCTTCGACATTGACACAGGCCCTATCAAGGTTTCTGTCGGCTTCGCCGCGGTCATAAATTTTGCCCCGCCTGTGATGAGTTTGGCAGCCTCCAGTCCGCCGCGGGAGCTGCACCAGTGAGGCGGTGGTGAACGGTGGTGCATGCGCTGAGCATTAGTGTTAGCACAGCGCTGGTGGTGGTATTGGTGCTGGTGCACGGCGCTCTGGTGCTCGTGCCGGCTGGAAAAGCACGACTTTGCTGTCATCCAATGATATCTCTTGTGCGGTCTGTTTCCGGTAAACACCTCGGTAGATAATGAAGTGAGGGTGGTAGGAGAGGAGGCATCGGAGCTCGCCGGAGCCCCTGCTGATGAGCTAGGACCCGCGTCACCCGGATATACAGTGTGCCTATTCAGTATTCACACACATACACTGTGTGGGAGTCGCTACGGCTAAAATGAACGCCAAATGTTTTGTGGGACCATTATTGCATTATCAAACATTGCGTCAGCACAATGCAGTTGTTTTACAGCTTAATGTCCTTGTTAAAGCAAACAGTAGGTAATGCAGTTTATATGAACGGCATGCTGAAAGCCAATCATGCTACGATACAATAACAATGCAATTTTTGTGGTAGCGAACCAAGTGGAATATTCGATAATGAGTTTGAGAAACGTTAGTTGTTGGCGTTTGACTTTTTTCATCTAGGAGGACGTATCTTATCCCAAACTCCAATACATATGTGAAGTGCAGGAAAACCGGCGCTTCGTTCTTAAAATACGTTTCCCTCCCAGATCTCTAGGATCTCCCACCGACTCCGTATCAAATGTAAAAACCTTCCTTTTAGAGAACTACAATACCTGCAGCTAACGGCGCTGACGCGCGTCTGATCTGAGATCTTTGTGGGATGTGTCCAGGCCTGTCCTCTCAATCTGACTGCTCCTATCAATTCTGTGTCAGCAGTTTTGTTTTCATTGACCTTTCATTCTGCCCTCCTCACCGCAGTTATCACTACAGAAAATCCCTATGTCATCGCAAAACAAAGAAAACTCTGCATGTCAGCATGCTTTCAGATGGTATCTTCACCCTCGAACACGATGAATTAGACCATTGTGGGACGGCATTTTATGGGACTGGAGATGAATTCATAACACAAGGCCTTTAACCCGCGCACCTGGTGGGGGGGGGGCTATTTTTGCCCCCCCCCTCCAGACTTTTCGATATATCTCCAGAACCACTGCGCCGATCGTCACCAAACTTTCAGTACCCTCCCGGACATCAATTTTACACTTGTGACCAAAATTTTTTCCAAAGGCTATGATAGGTTGGCCGGAAATGACGTCAGAGTGACGTCATGTTCTGCCGTTTTCGACCCAAAAAAGGGTTTCGCGGGAAGAGCTATCAGGCCTATAGCTTTGCAAATACAGAAAAATGATACAGACATAAAAGCTGTAGAATGGACAGGGCTACAAAACTGCTATCTCGGATTATTGAATTTTGGATTTTGACCCCAAAAAATCAAAAAAAACAAAAAAAAAT